TATTTGTATAATAAATATAATAACCAGTCAGACCACTTGCATTTCTTGTTTAATGATTGTAGAACATTAGTATTTCCCAAAATGTCATTTGTGACTTTAGCATATAAATAATAATTTAATTAAAAAATACAAAAAGACTTGTTCAATTAGAAACATAGTCCCATCTGCTTGAGTGTATGAGGTTTTCTGTTTTAAAAAAAAAAAAAAAAACTTTGATGTAGTTTCAGATCTTCCAAAAGTTCTGCACCTGAATCACAATGCCCCATGCAGCACTACAGGCCTGGTGAAGAGTAGCTGGAAAGCTGCCTGGCAGAAAAGGACCCAGGGGTGCTTGCTGATTGACAGCTGGCTGAACATGAGCCAGCAGTGTGCCCAGGTGGCCAAGAAGGCAAATCATATCCTGGCTTGTATCAGAAATGTGCTTTGGGTTTTTTTTTGTCTCATAGTTAAGTTTCCAAGTATCTTAATATTGATGTGAAAATTGTAAGCACTCTTAAGTTATGCAAACCATTGTGCATTGAAAAATAGTTTGGACTAATGATTTGGTTTACAAATGACTTGATCTCAGCCTTAATTCTGTAGTAGCAGCAGTATACATGTTTTTACCTTCTTTAACTCTTGCTGATGGGTTTGTTATTTATTGTCTCTTTATGCAAGAGCTGTTCAAGTGTAATATAACCAAACTAAATTTGTGGTTATGGTAGCTACTATCTGTAATTCCACATTAATCACTGCTGTTACTCTCTTATGAGGAATTGTACTTACAGCTGCATGTACAAAATAGTGTTATTAGTGTGTAAATTATAGTAGCAATGAATAGCTTTATCAAGTGTGTCAACAGGCACAGTTTAGCCAGTTAATGACTGGACAGTCTGATTTTCAACTTATGGACAGAAATGTTGCAGCTTTTTTAATCTTCTAGTGTTTTTTTCAGATTTCCTGTTCTCATCTCAAGATTTCCTTTTACATAAGCAATGTAAAAACGCTGCTTGTGAACATGTTCCTTTAAAACTTGGGGTTTTAAACTTCTATCTCAGACTGAGCTGAAATTGTATCGTTTAAGTCTGTTTCTATATGCTTAGTTTATAGAAATGAGAACCTAAATATATTAGTGAGAAATGACTGCATTTCTGGTAAATGTTAGTCAAATTGCACTGCAGTCCTAATGAATTATCCTTTCTTTTTCATAAGCAGTTGTTGTACCATGAGAATATTTATATTGGTTTTGATTATTCTAATGCATTCTTTCTTACAGTGTTCTGTGAAGGTTCCAGTCCAATGGTTCAAGTTTCTTCTGGTTTATTAAATGACCATTTTTTAGAAAATATTGGATCTGGAGTACCCATTTGCCAAACTGTGTCAAGCCAAAATTTTGAAGTAAGCACATCACTTTCTTTGTTCTCTTATGGTCTGGAAGGCAACCAAATCTCGGGGAACTTCATGAATGCTTATGAAAAATGTGATGACCTTGCAGAATATGCATCTGGAGGGCATAATGATCTGAATGGTCAGAATGGAATTGCTTTTGTAAACATTGACTCTTATGAGCCAGATAGCAGTGATGGAGAGGAAGATGATGCTCAAGACAAGTTTTCTTTGGCAAGAGAAGCAGCAGGTGTATTTCCAGAAACACTGGATAACATGGTTTTTGAGTTAGAAAAGGGCGTAGAGTCTTTTGCTGACTTACAGTTCCAATTGTCTGCTCTGACCCACAGTGTTTCTAGTAAATGTTGCAAAGAAGCAGAACTGATGCCTTTAATGAGATATTTTAGCATAGACTCAGACTTGGCAGGTCCAAACAACAGAGCATTTACATCTTCTGCAGATGATCAGGCTATATTGAGAAGTAGGTTGAGTGGTGCCAATTATGAAACACAGCAGATAGAAAATACAGTGGATGATGGAATCAGAAGTCCTATAGCAATTGCTGATGAATTATATATCAATTATGAAAAGACTGATGAAGAAAAGTCACTTGAGCTAGTTGTGAGACCTAAAATAAGAAAACAAAATACTGCAAACCAGTTGGAGAGAAAGAAGCTTCTCCCTAATGATGATGAAGAGGAAAGTGATTCCTGGAGAAGAATTAAAAGTGGTGAAGTCCAGCAAGCCTATGCTGAGTGTGTCTTGAGAAACAGCAAAGAAGAGATGAGTTCTAATATGCTCTTTGAATCAGAGTACCAGGGTCATCAAAAGCACACAGAAATAGTCCTAAGGAAAGATGCAGCAGTTCAAGAACAAAATGTTCAAGGCAATAGCACTTTTTGGGATGAGTTGGAAGAGTGCACCAAACACTTCTCAGTGTCTCACAAAGATGAAGACAGGTAAGATTTCATTTTTATCTGTATTAGTATAGAATCTTTCTTCTAAACGGGCTAATCTGAATAATTTGTTAGCAAACAGTTTCAGAATATGGACAAATAACAGGATGTCAGCATTTCCTTTCAGTTCTCCTGCACCCTTCCTCAAGTCTGCTTGAAAAAATTATAGCATACCTTCTTGTAATGTAAAAAGCCTTTCTTTATGTTTATGGTCAAGGTGTCTTACCACTCAAGAAGATTACTTATTTTTATTTTACTTTTACTGAGTGGATGGAAGGTAGAGAGGGAATATCTTGTTCAGCATGGGTTTTGGGAAATGATGGATCTTTGAAAGTTCCCTTCAACACCTGTTATTTTCAGAATTTGTTCTTTTTGCTACCAAATCTCAATATTCTGCATGACAGCCTATACATGTTCTTGACTTTAGCCTTTTGAAAGAAATTATTCTTCCTTATCATATCTGAAGAATAACTTGATAGGATTCCTTATCTGTTTCTTAGTGAAAGGTCTTTAGACTAGTAGGTATTTCCAAAGTAGCTATTAATGAATAGTTTCAGATCTACAGACAGCTCCTACCTGGACACCACAGACAGTATTCAGTCTCCTCCTGTTTTGAGCTCTCTACCCAGAAGACAGACTGATTTGGATAAACCTTATGTTGATTAACTTTTACTCATGATGCTGGTTAAGAACTTTTCACTGTGAATTGGAGTTACATAATTAAGCTCTTTGAAGGTTAAAAGAACTATAGCCTTCTGTTTATTTATGGTAAATTGCAGTAGTGTTTGTGATGACATCAGTTTGGTGGTTTTTTTCCTATTTTTCTTCTACTTTACTTCTATCTTCCTGTTTCTGTTCCTACTGTGTTCTTTACGAGACTTATCTTCTGGATGTTACGGCTTTTCTGTATGTGGGCTTGCCATTAGGCTTCATGAGATGGTCTGCTTAGTAGGTTGTTTCTGCTGCTTTTGTGGAGAGAACAGCATGAAAATTAAGTCTTGATAAGAGAGCTTCTACTTTTAAGTTTTTTGTTTGGCTGAGGGGTAAGGCCAGCACTGCTTATTTGTTAAGCAAGCATTGGTGTTCTGTGTCACTGCTGCTATTTTCTGTGTGTGCTTGGAGAAAAATGTGTATAGTGGGTCTTAGTTTCTATTCCCAAGTTGTTTCATGTGTGCTGCAAATGTGGAGGGGGAAGAACAAAATGTTTTTGCAAACTGAGATGGTCACAGTTCTTTCTTAGAAGCTGATTTTTTTTAATTAGCTCTTGGTGTATACTTGCCTTGTAATATATTTATAAATAGTACAAAATTAATCATAGAATCATAGAATGTGTTGGGTTAGAAGGGACCTTTAAAGATCATGTAGTCCAACCCCCCTACAGTGAGCAGGGACATCTTTAACTAGATCAGGTTGCTCAGAGCCCCCATCAAGCGTGACTTCCAGGGATTGGGCCTCCACTGCCTCACTGGGCAACCTGTTTCAGTGTTTCACCACCCTCATGGTGAAGAACCTCTTCCTAATATCTACTACTCTCTTGCAGTTTAAACCCTTTCCCCCTCATGCTATCACTCCCTGCCGTTGTAAACAGTCACTCCCCAGCTTTCTTGTAAGCCCCCTTCAGGTACGGGAAGGCTGCTATAAGATCTACTTGCATCCTTCTCTTCTCCAGCCTGAACAACCCCAACTGTCTCAGCCTGTCCTCATAAGAGGTGCTTCAGCCCTTGGATCACTTTTTTTGGCCCTTTCCTGGACCTCCTCCAACAGTTCCATGTCTGTCTTGTACTGAGGTCTCCAGAGCTGAACACAGTACCCCAGATGAGGTTTCACCAGAGCAGAGTAGAAGGGCAGAATCACCTCTTGATCTGCTGGCCACGCTTCTTATGATGTAGCCCAGGATGTGATTGGCCTGGGCTGCAAGTGAGCATTGTTGGCTTGTGTCCACCTTTTCATCCACCAGTGTCCCCAAGTCCTTTTCCACAGGGCTGCTCTCTATAATATCATCCCCTAGCCTGTACTGATGAGGATTGCCCCTACCCAGGTGCAAGACTTTGCATTAAAGTAATGCAAAAAAAAAATTATCCTGGAAAATATAGTCTATATTGAGAGCAATTTTCATAGGTAAGTAGGAAATTACAGAATGTTTGCATTTGTTTTCTTTCCCCTAAAGCAGTGTTTAAATTCATACCCTGTTGTCTTTTTTAAGTTGCAGCTCAGAATGCAGTGATGGAGAATGGTCTACAGGTGTGCCTATGTATTTTACTGCTGCAGAAAAAGACCAGTCCTCAAGTGATGAGAGCTGGGAGACTGTCTCTGGCAGGGAGGAACGTGAGCCTGAAGTGCAGAGCAGCAGCAGTGGTGTAGAAGAGGAGAGCACAGACTTCTATTTTCAAGGAGGGTATGGTTTTACTTTATTAGCTAACTTCCAGTAAGTTTTGATATCAGTAGCAACACAGTATCCACATGACACTACACAGAATAACATCGGTTCTAAAACTTGTTACTATGCTAATGATAATTTGCATCAAAATAATCTGAGTAGTTTTATGTATTTCGAATTGGGGGAAAAATGACCTGTCATGCAAATGATTCTACTATATGAAAGGTACAGAAATAATGAGAGGGCATTGACATGTAGTAACAATAGGGATAATAGGCTGGATATACTGACTTTAAAAAGCCAGATTAGGTATGTTAATTGTAAAGATGTACATCTTACATACACATCTTTTTAGTGCTCATTGGAAAGCAGTTGTTTATCTCTTTGCTTTATTACTTCTCATATTCCACTGCTGGTCTTTATTTCTGCAGCCCTATCAGTGACTGAAGTAAACTTGAACCACTTGCTTGCTGGAAACTTACTCATTTTTCCAGTCATTCAGTACTTACTTTATAAAATGTATCTGCCTTTGTGACAATGCAAAATTGATAAATATCTGAAGAAAGCTTGTTTTTTTCTAAGCATCTAATATTGACCTTATTCTTAGTTTGAGTCTTCATAAAGCAACAAGCCGTACCTAACTGTTCTTTTATCTTCCATTTTTAGATAGTACCTATTAACAAGCAGTCTAAATCACTGCTACTGCTTTTTTTAGTATTGCTGTATCTTGAGGTTTGGAGAATTGGTATGGCTTTATGAAACTATTACAGAAACTCAACTGTTTTGAAATAACAACAATAGAGCTATATACTCTTTAGCTTTCTTTGTTGTCGACAGCCTACAAATAAACCCATTTCTAACATGATTCTTGTTTATTTGCCCTTTGATAAGGAAAGTGGGACTCTCAGCCCTGTGACTCTAAACATCAAAGCGGCTTGTGCTCCTTTGGAAAATCCAGTGATGAGAGAAGTCTTTCTCCTTATGCAAATAGCTTCTCTTTGCATTCAGGCCAAGGTTCCTCATGAAGGCTGTTCCAGGGTGTCAAGAGAGCCTTTCTTTTAAGTGGCCTTAGGAACTTGTAGATTAATAAGAAAATATTTAGTACCAAATTTACTAGCCCTGGCAGGGGTACTGCTTGTACTAGGGAAAATGCAAAACAAGCTGCTTACGGTACTGTGAGCCTTGAGCATTAGACAAATAATTTTGCTGTAGATTCATGAGTGTTACTAGATTTTGAGTCAGGAGCTGATACCACTGGGAGTTTCTTGGTTTTTTTACAGCTAATGCTAAATTCCCATTTGGGACTCTGGAGCCTGGAAAACATTAATCTTTAGCCCTTGTAGCTTTTGTTGCTTGCATGTGTTTGTAAAAGGTTCTAGCTTTTTAGTTTTAGCTTTGCATTTATTTATCTGAAGGGAACGGATGTTATTGGAGGAAGGTGAGATTTGTTGGTTACAGTACCGGGAAGAAGGAGAAAGTAGCAGTGATGAGGGAAATGATCCAATTAGTGATTTTGTGCATCCTGGATTCTTCCTGTTGGATGGAAATAACAACCTTGAGGATGACTCCAGTGTGAGTGAAGATCTGGATGTGGAGTGGAGGTATGCCTTTGATAGTTTTCTGCATCAATTTTAGATGTTTTGTAATAACTGTTCTGCTTTTTATGTAATATGTCAAAAATACCCATGGCTACCAGTATTTACTTGCTTCAAAGGCTGCTAATCTGAGTTTTATGGCTTAGGGTACTTTAAGTGCTAAGTGTCTTCTAATGGGAGAAAGAGGATATACATTTCCTAAATCAGATCGTCATCTGAGAGGATTCTGGTACACTGAATATTCAAGGAATGGGTGTACTTTTTGGATTAATTTTCAAAATGGCAACTATATAGTAGAAAGTGTAACAAAGTTTTGCAAGTGATATGAATGTAATCAGCATTTAAGTCAGTGCCATTTTATAACTGGTCTTTTCCTCTTTTGTAAACGGTGTAAGTTAGATATTATAAGCCTATTTTCTTTCTCTTTGAAATGCCATGCACTTACCTAATACAATTTTGAATGCTTCACTCAACTTTCTGTCATGAATTTCAGTAATCATGAGATTACTGAAGAATATTTCAATATAACTATTATGAAAATTCTGGAAATACCAGGAAGAAAGTGATTGGAGCCACTTGCACAGCCTAATCCTGGCAGTTCAATGCCTTTTTTTGAAGTAAAAGTAAGCGAGACAGAATGCTTTCCAGTGAGAGACTTCAACACTTGCTTTCTTCTGCTTATTAAAAATATTATAAACTACAAGATAGACATACCAAAAACATTGGTATTTTCTCCTTGTGAAGTTAGATTGTGAAAAAACACAACAGGGACTGATGCATGGGAATTCAAGCTAGAAGTAAGTCATGTGTTCTTATAATGCTAGACAGCAAGCTTTAGGTGTTGGAAGTTAGCTTTGGTAAGCTTCCTAATTACTCAAAATAGGAAGAAAAGAACATGTTTTTCTAAAAGTCTGTTAAGTTTTGTCTGAACATGCATAGATCTGTACATTATACTGCTTGTGCCTGTTTTAAGATTCGATCTCAATGTTGAAAACAGAACTCAAAGCAGCTGCCAAGCTATGAACTGACACATGACACAATAAAAATCTGAGTGCTGGTTGTAAAATGAGTGTAATAGCACACATGCGAAATTTATTAGCTTAACCCTATGGCCTTTTTCTCTGGAGAAGTCAAAGGTAAAAGCTCCCGTTATGTTCTTTTGAAGTCTATATTGTCTTCGGTATACCGTGTGTGTGTATATATGTATATGTACCTTCTATACTAAGAGGACGTGCTGGCAGGTGGTGGTTGCAGGGTGGTATCTGTGAGGAGAGGCTGGAGCTGCCCCATGTGGAACACAGCTGATTTCAGCTGGCTCCAGCCTCCTACTGCAGGCTGATGCTTCTGCAAAAGTACTAAAGAGAGGTTAAAAAATGCTGCACAGTAGAATGTGAGAAGGAATAGTGAGGATGATGTGAGAGAAACAACCCTACAGACACCAAAGTCAGAAGAAGGGGCAGAAGGTGCTCCAAGTGCTAGAGAAGAGATTTCTCTTCAGCCCCTGGAGAAGACCACAGTGGAGCAGGTAGGTATTTGCTGAAGGAACTGTACCTGTGGAGATCTCCTGCTGGAGCAGTTAGTGAAGGACTGCAGCTTGTGAGAGCCTCTTACAGAAGCAGATTTATTCTGAAGGACTGTAGCCTGTGGGAGGGACTCCACACTAGAGTAAGCAACAGTGTGAGGAGGAAGGAGTGGCACAGAGGAACTGCCATGTACTGACCACAACCTGTGTTCTTTGTCCCTCTGTGCCACTTGGAGTAGAGGAACATGGAGTCAGAAATGAAGGAGTAAAATTGAGCCTGGGAAGAAAAGGAGGACTAAAGCAAGGGTGTTTTTTTGCCTTTGTTTTTCACCACTTTTATAAGCTATAAGTTCGTAGAATCATAGAACAGCATAGGTTGGAAGGGACCTCATAACATAATTTGGTTCAACCTTTCAGTTAAACTAAGACTCAACTTAGGTGGAAACTTGTCTTGTGTGTAATGTTGATTGGTGAGTGATCTCCCTATCTTTATCTTGACCTGTGAGCTTTAAGCCTTATTTATACACCTGGTCAGTTGAGGTGGCGGTATAGGAGCATCTGGGTGTGCAGCTGGCAGCCACTCAAGGTCAACCTAACACGACAACCACAGTGCACACAGTAGTTAACAAGTGATGTAATTTGATGTACCCAGCCCTCCTGTAGTTACTATTTACTATAAAATGAAGACCATGTTTCCTAACTCATATTTTTCAGACTACTTGATGAGTTTGGTGATGGCCTAGGACTTGCTCAAGCCATTCCTTATGCGGATCCTCAGTTTCTCACATTTATGTCGCTAGAGGAACACTTACAAGCTGCTATGGAGGTATTAAAATATTCTTGGTGGTATTATATCAGTGATGTTTTGACATAGGTTTTATTTAATCTTTTTTTAGCATAATCTGAAAACACAGGGAAAGAATTATTTTCCCACTTTAGCTTGAACTTTCAGGTCTGCAACCTTGAAAATAAATGTTTGGAAGTTCTTTTAAATTATATAGTGCAAGAAGTCATTGATCAGTGTTACTTTTAGAATATGCATGTATTTCCTCTTCAAAGAAAAAATATACTGATTTTCTACCACTATAAACATGCTATTTAAGTTACTGTAAAGAATGTTGCCAGATTCCCTACATAGCAGGAAAATAAATACCTGGATCTGTGCCTATGAATTGTCATAGCTTTTTTTCCTTTGCAAGAATACAATTGAATGTCTCATGTTTTTATTCCTCAGTAGAAGACTTTCTGTGTTTGACTGTCTTGACTGCATGTGTTTTCAAGTTTAAAAAAAAAAAAAAGCCCCCAACAAACAAAAAAGCCTTTTATCTTTACCTTGTTACTGAGAGCCAGCACGGTTATGATCTTTGTCTTTTCTTTGTTACATGACATCGGTCACTGTCAGAGTGAATATGGAGCTAGCTAAAATTCAGTTTTATGCAATGTAACAATTCTTACACAGCTAGAAATCTCCCCTGCAGGCTGTTTGTCAAAATAAGAGTTGAAATATATGTAGATGTATAATATGGTATTACAGCAATTCAATTGAATGTTCTGTGTGTGACACAAGTTTAGTGGCAGCAAGGTCTTAGTTAAAAGGGGTGAACAGGGCAGATTGTATGTGATAGTGTACTTGCAGGCAAAATAACAAGGACGCTTTAAAGTGCTTTCTAAAGCTGACAGTCAGTGGAACAATCATAGATTCTCTCCCCCCCCCCTCCCCCCCCCCTCCTTGGATATGTACAAAATCAATGATTTTGTGAATAAACCTCATGGGGATTTCCCAAGAGGGTTGAAGGATGGTACTCTGAAGTTAGCAGTCATTCAATTCCTGGGTATTGTGCATCCCCCAAGGTATATGGGATGTCAGCACTATTCATGATAAAGTAAGGTCTTCTCCAGCTGCGTGGGATCTTGTTAGCATTATTTATCTGGAGACACTTCAGAACTGCTTATTAATGTGTAGGAGGTCTGTTGATGTCCTTACCATAAAAGCAGTATTTTGCAGTTGTATAGAGAAAATTCCTTCTCTTTAATAGCTGCTGGTTCTCACTACATCAGAAAGGACAGAACTACAGAAGCAGTTGACCTCCTCCTTTACACCAAAGCAAAGGGATCTGTGTAGAGAGAGGAAACTAATCCTGTCTTTTTTCGAATTAATCTGTATGTTAACACTTGAAGAGGAGGCTGAGGTTATTCTGGCTCTAAACATTTCTTTGTTGTTACTGTGTTAAAACATTTCCCTAGTTACTTTGTTAGAAGAAACATGTGCAGTCTTGTTAGGCTGACCTGTAAAAGCAATCCTAGGTGGCTCTGTGCATGTCTGGCTGAGAAGATACTATAATTATGTTAATGTCACCAGGAACAGTGTCATTGAAAGCAGTTGGCAAGCAGGTAGATGACTACCAAGGTTAGTTGTTCTCTGACACCTGTGGTACAGGTCACTGTGAATGTTGGCCAATTCTCTTAAATAGTATTTGTACTTGAAATCAGCACTTGGGTGTATGAAGCTTTATGGTGGGGATAATTGGGATTAGTCAGCAGAAAATGGTAACTGAGTTATAAAAGAAATAGCTGTACTGACTGTGACTGAATGGAGAACACAGGCTTTCAACAAGAATTATAAATATTTCCTCCCAATAGCAAGCAGAAATGGAGCACCCCTACTTCCAGTGTGAAGATGGTTACTAAAATTCTTCAGAAAATAAGAGCAAGGATTACCCAAAAACATTCAACATTTCTCTCAGACAATATTGCAAGTATTTCTGGAAGTTGAAACTGAGAAAAAAAAAAAAAGGCTCTATATGTGTATCTACTCAGAAGTAATTTTAATTGCATGCTGAGATCCTATCTTTTGATGACAGCGAGATATAGACAGGATCAGGATATAATGTTTTCTGCGTTCTAGAAAACAGGACTAGCAAATGACCAGTATATTTTAGCTCAGAAAATTTTCTGAAACTGTCTTTAGCCAGCAAAATAAACTATTGTAGCTGTGAGATACACACTTGAAAGTGATACATGATAATCCATCAAAAACTGAACTGTATCTTCATGGTGGGGGAGAGGATCTATCCAAATTGTGACATTTGGAGGAGGAAATTAGTGAATAAGTAACTAAAAGCAAAACAAGCCATGCTCTATACGATTCTAGGATGCCAAAACATAGTAACCTGTATGTATTTTTTACTTAACTTCCATTTGTTCTAAAGAGATTACTTAGCTAGAAGTGTTTTGTTTACTTCATTAGCAGTATAAACAGGTTGGGTGTCTCTGCAGCATCAGTGGCATCACTTATGAATTTATCCTTTGCTGATTCACACATTTGAATCATGCATGTGAGGAGCTCAAATCCCTGTAGGCTATAGCACTCCTGTTTTTAGCAATGTCCAGCATTTGGTTTATGGTTCATGGAGCAGTAAACAGTCACACAAGTAATAAGAGGAAGGAAATAAAGTTTGACGTTATAAAGGCTTGCTCTGCTTTGGTTTTGAAGATGTGGTTTTAAGTATCAGTCATTGTGAAGCTTTTTGTTTGTGATATTTCTTCTGTACAGCTATCAGAAGCAAACACTGCAGTGTTTTTACTAGTACTGGATATAGACACAGACTTGACACATAAGTAATATTGCATCCTTCTGTCTGCCTGGGATCTTACCTAATTTTTCCTTTTCTAATTAAGTATTTTTACCTACAAATTATTGCAGCTGTAGTGAAATATCATTACAAATACTAAAATCACCTTAAAGGTAGTAAGGCAGTATTGTCTGCTGTAACAGAATTGAACGCTTTTAAGCATATAATACATTGGAGGAGTGTGCCTGTTTTGCAGGTAGTCTCACATATTGCACTAGAGAAAACTCTCCCAGGATTTCCTTTAAATTAGTGGATTTCTACATGAGAATATATGTCACTAGGAGCTGTAAATATTTGTCTGGCTTGTGCTGATTTTTCTGCCACAAACATTTGACATTAGGTACAAACCTGCTAGTTTAGATCTAGTGAGATGGTTGCCTGAGCTATCTTGCCACTAGAGATAAAAGTGCAGGCATGTTTTCAGGCGGCAGCTTTAGTAACTTTAGAGAGTGTAATAGGAAAGACTGCTGAAGGTGTTTGTGTTTGTTTCTCTAGCATACTTTTGGGGTTTTTTTAGTTAAGTGTACCCACAACATTACAAACATGTCAGGTTATCTTAAACTACTTACCAAGGGAGTTTCTTGGCCATTAGAATAATTTTTCATGCTGATTAGAGCAGTAAGTAGTTGTGCTTCAGGAGTATGGCTAGTTCAGTCAAGATACGAACTCTGTGGTTCTGTTTTTGGCTTTTCAGTTTGTTCTGCTGTTCAAACAGGTATATCTGATAGATTTCTTAGTGAATATAACTAATATAAGTTCTCTGTAGCATTTTTTTTTTCTACTGTGGAGCCTCTCAATATATGATGTAAACATCAAATCTGCTTGCTGTAGCATCAGAGTCTTAAAGATTTTTGTGCGGTAAAGAAATTAAATTTCAAACAAGTTGACTTCAGAGCACTATGTCTTAAGTTACTATACAGATGATGTAGAAACATGTATGTGGATCCTCTTTTTCTGAAAGCTTACACTGGTACCATACGTGAGGTTCTTAATCTGTCTGTACCTGAGTAATTCAGTAGCTGAAGCCAGGGAAGATATTAATGAGGCTTTTATTTTCAGAAAGTAAGTGTAATGACAGTTTTGTATTAGCAAGCTTTATTACATTTTCAACTTCTTGCCTTTTTTGAAACTTAATAAAATGAGCAAATGTTGATTAAAGAATAAGTTGTGACTCTGCCCTGATGCTTTAAGAAGGCTTAAAAACCAAAATGTTACTGTTTTGACCTTCAAATTCATTCACGTTTTTATTTTTGTAACTAATAATGGTTAGTATGGCAGAAATACTATCACCTTCTTAAATGGAAATTATTAGAATTGGATTCCTTTTCTTGGCTATTTGTTACTATATAGAGAGTGTTACATTTGTGAGTAAGAGAATGTGGTCTCTGCTCAATCTTTTCAGATTGCTCTGGCACATTTGGAATCTCTTGTATTTGAAGTTGATCAGGCTCAT